GAGCGATACAACTCCTCATGTATTTCGAGAAGCTCACACTCAATATCCGGAAAAGCTGAACATTTGAGTAGGAATTTTGGGAGACCACCTAATTGGACCTCTGTTTATTCCTGGTAATTTAAATGGCGAAATGTATCTTGAAATGCTGGAAAATGCAATTGATCCGTTAATAACAGAAAAATTAGAAAACGATCCTCTAGTAATTGAACAATAATTGCATTTCCAACAAGACGGAGCTCCTCCTCACTACGCCGCACCAGTTTGCCAATACCTCAATTTACAATACCCTGGTCGTTGGATTGGAAGAAGAAGTCCTATGGAGTGACCTGCTCACTCTCCTGATCTGAACCCTCTGGACTTCTTCTTGTGGGAACATCTTAAGTCCAAGATTTTTGTGACTCAGCCTGAAAATTTGGACGAACTACGCCAACGAATTGTAAATGAGTGTCGTCAAATAACTCCAATTATGCTGGACCATGTTAGAGACGGTCACGAATATTTTAGGAAAATATTCGTGCCCTCAAGAAAATTTCCGGAAATAATTTAAGCTCTTGTGATATTATAAGTAAAAATACATCTTATATTAAATTTATGAATCAAAAACATTTCTATATTGGCATTAATCCCGTGCGATATTATTGTTTATGAGTCGATTCGAGAACAAAAATACGCTTGTGTAGTGGTTATTCAACTTTTGATACTGGCACATGGATTCTAACTAGTTATGTATGATGTAGTTATTTTTGAAAGACACTCCTAAAGATATTATAAAATCTGGCGGCGCCTACGGTACTTGTTCGTACATTTGAACTCCGCTGAACTATAATTACTAAAAATAAGCAGGTAGGTATCGGATTCGTGAGTGTGATTTTCTTTCGTGTTAGAGAGAAAAGGTCTTGTCCGTATTGCCCAACTTATAACAATGACTCGATTGGGTAGAAAGCAAAAGTTGGTATTACAATGTATTAATTGATCCTCAAGTATTACATTAACCTTTGCTGTTTATAAGTACTTGAAAAAAAAAGACGTGATATTGTTTTATTAAAACCAGGTTATTATTTAAAATTTCTACTTTAATTATCACGATCAACGTTAAATTCCAAGCCAAGCCTCAAAGAGTGCAAAATAAAAATAAATGGAGACGCTCCCATAGCAACAATTGAACTCCTGAAAACGTAATGGGATTAGACTAAAACAATTTAGCAAAACAAATGTAAACAGACACTAAATAGATACTTACCTAGAATTCATAATTTAATAAAAAAACCGCAATAATTATAAGTTTGAACAAACATGCAATGATCAGCCTCATCCAGTGATGTTTTAAATATTTTTTTATTTTATCATTTTAGCATACCTAACACAGTTAATTTGAGCCACAATTAATTTTTAAAATATGAATTTCGGGTCTAAAGGTACCATTTCGGTAGGCGCGTCAGGAGACAAGAGACCACCGAGACGACCCCAAGGTCGAGTAGGACGACAGATGCATAAATGTTACGCTTCGTACATTTCGGAAGCTTGAGAAGTGTCGCGCGACACTTACAAGATAAAGGTACCATTTCGGTAGCCGCGTCAGGAGACAGGAGACCACTGAGGAGACCAGTAGGACGACAGACTACAGTACTATGGCTGAAAACATTTTCACCTAATACTTTTTATAATACTATGCCTAAAAACATGTTTACCTGCCAAGGCTTTTTACAGTACTATGCCTGAAAACAATTTCACCTGATAGTCTTTTAAAAATAATACTACAGTACTATACCGAAAAACATTTTCACCCAATAAACTCTTTAAAGTACTATGCCTGATAATATTTTCACATGATAGTCTTTTAGAAATGACAGACTCTACGGCTGAAAAAATTTTCACCTAATGCTTTTTACAGTACTATGCCTGAAAACATTTCCACTTGATAGTGTTTTAGAGATGAGATTCTATAGTACTATGCCTGAAAACATGTTCACCTGATAGACTTTTTACAGTACTATGCCTGAAAACATTTTCACCTGGATGAAATATCTCAAAATTTCAAAGAACTTACTGAACACTGCGTTTCTGGACTAGCAATTTTTATTAATGGAGATCTCAGATTCCGTATTATATTTCTTCTTTTAGTCATACCACTGCATGAAAGGGGCGATAAAGTCATTCCCTCCTACAATTTTTCTACCTTAACACCTGAACATTTCCTAATCGGCACTCCCCTTCTGGCCTTACCTGAATCAGACATAACCGATTAGGAAATGTCCAGGTGTTACGGCAGTAAAATCGTTAGGATCTGATGATAAGGCAGTAATCCGGCTCGAAGGACCAAAATGTTCGATGATGATTTTTAGATATATAAATTAAAACGTTCACCGATTTCTCTCGTACCAACTATGGTAAATTAATTGAAAAACTTGTTATATGTATATGTTTTTGAATAAATTGATTTTATTCGTTTTTATTTCAATTTAATTTGTTAACATTAACTTTTTATATATTATTTCATGTGTCCATAAGATATATCATTGATATTCTCTCTCTACGTATATATTAACAAACATATTTAACTCTTCACACGATTAATCATTAAATGACATTGTCTGGACGAGCTTTAAATGTTTAAATGCATTTGTTGGTCGGTTTATAATTTAAATCAATTTTCAAGGTAAAAAGAAACGCATTAATCAATTAAGGTTGTAAAATATTATTATGTAAAAGGCGACATTAATTCCGATTACGAAAATTTTCATTATTGATTGCGACCGTGCGTCTGATGTAACGGCGAAATCAATAACTGTAAATTTAGGAGTTGTTTGCTTATTATTATTGAAGAAGATAATAAATATGTTTTCATGGAAAACATTTATTCTATTAATGAACGTAGACTGCATGTCTGAAAATGACATTTAGATTGCTGTTGTTGTTGAAGGTGTGTTTTCATTACATGAAAATTGATTTGGTAAAAATAATCTTAGATGAGATATCACAACAAACAAAAATATTATGAATTATGGAGGATAATAAAAAACAAACTGGACCATACTCGTGTAAGAAATAAGGGAAGGCTTATAAACCTATAACCAAACCTATGAAAATGACATATCTCGATAATCAGTATCTTTATCTGTTTCTATAAAAAAAGTTGTATCTACCTTAGACTAAGGTATCTTCAGTCAGCAAACTTATAATTGGGTATGCATTGTAAAAATAGACATGTCATTATGTCATTTATGTATAGGTCTGATCAAAAATAATTTTTACCGTTTCATAATCATAGAGAGTGGGCACTCTTACAGTGAATACCATTAGCACATACTTTGATTTTCTTTTACTATACGGAGAATGGTCGCACTGCGCAGCTTTCTGAGTGCCTTTTAAAAGGAGATAGAAAACTCCGCCATTTTGAACCCTTATTACGTGTTGCCTACATCTTGGCGCAATATTTTTAATAGGTGCGTTTTAATCATCCACTTCTGCTTCGGAATTGTCGGTTTTCTTGTTTTAATCTGACAGGTTAAAACGACTAAACCGACAATTCCGGAAGCAGAAGCGGATGATTAAAACGCACCTGATATTTTGCTTGCTGCTGTCAGTGTCAGTGAATATTAGGCATTCCAACGACCTGTCCAAATGGCTACCAGTGGGTAATGACAGTTTAGATATGGCAACCCTGTTGTCAAGTTGTCATTAACAGGGTCAATGATACATATATAGTTATATAGATTGCTCAAAGCTGGTCGTTTACGAGCGGCCATATTGCCTGGCAAATATTTATTAATTTGAATCGGTTTAGCAAAAATGTGTTTTAAAACCAATTATTAGCCTTTAGATATTTAAAAAAAATAATTGCTTACATTTTTACTTCAAGGCATAAGCTTATGTTTATTTTGAAAAAATATGGATGATCAATCTATGTAACTATCTATTTCATTGACCTTGTCAAATCACCAGGCCTACAGGGTTGCCATAATTTTGCCATATCATAACCCGTCAAAACCCACTGGTAGCCATTCAGTTTGGAATGCCTAATTATTTTTGGAGTCACAGTTTATTGCTAAAGAATCAGTTAGCTCACTCGGACCAGTTGAAAGTTCCAAAATAACATCCACTTCAGGGATACAAATTCAGGATACGCAGAAGACTGCTGTTTTATTATAGGCGGTTGTCATATATTGTATTATCCGAGTTCCGCAGTGTATAAACTGGTACATTGAGATCAAAAGTGCCGACGCAGAGTCAGCGATCTGATTCTTTAGCTATAAACTGTGGCATAGTAATCAAAATGGCCGCGCCCTATGTTGGGCGTGTCGGACCTCTCTCTTGCACCGTATAGTAATCAAAGTATGTGACCATTAGGGATATCTTAAACGGTAATAGATACAGAGTTGGTTAAATAAGAGAAAAGTTGCGCTATTTCATGTTCATTAACAATCTACTATGAAGTTTATAATATCTACAGGGGTTTCCCAAATATCGGTTGAAAACAAAAAAATTGTCATTTTGGAAAACTTACGATATTGTCTACATCGTTTGAGCAAATTTAACGAAAATTTAGACTTTTGTATTACGAGCTACGCCCAATCGACTAGCGCTATCGAAAAATGTCCTGGCCTTCTAACTTTGTTATTTCTTATGACAGCCATATTGAATTTTTATACCATTGAATAGCCAACAAAATTCCAAAACTAAAAATGATCTTAAGAAAAGTGAGGTTAGGTCAAAATCTTATTTTTCAATCTTCAATTTTGCTTTTCTTATGGACGCCATATTGCCATTAAAACGAGCAAAAAAATAGCTAGATATGAAACGGCATTTTGTAACGTGTTACATACAATATTTTTTCTAATTTTGACTAGATTTATTTATATAAAATTGTGTTTTGGTAAGATATTAGTGACATCTAGGCAACCAATATTACCTTATTGTATTGTTAGTTGCATATGTATCATTTTACGCCAATAGAGTCGTACCTAGTGCTATTAAATGTATAAATAAAATGTGAAACTTACCCATGACCGTTGGGGAACCTGGTGGAGCCCGGGGAGGTAGAATAAGGGGATGGGGTGTTCTGCGGCGAAGCAGTAGCGGACGGAATGGCGGCAGGTTCGTAGTATTCGGTGTTTAGGGTCCTGTCGTCTATCTTAAGTTCGGCGTTGTGGGCTTTGGACGCACTTTTGATGTCCATGAACGCCACCGTGCACGCCATCGTGATCTCACCCGTCTTCTCCTCGGTGCACCTGGGCAACAATTTAACACTTTGCACGCGGCCATACCTGCAACAAAAATATTGTCGGTCAGCATAAACTACAAAGGTAACTATAATAATTTACAACCAGCTTTTAGCAGCCGGTTTTGTTCTGAGTGAAGAAAGGCGTGATCCGTTTGGTACCAAACCTATTGTATTCAAACTAAATAATAATAGGTGTCAGTTCGATTTGAAATATGTCAAAATTGATGCGTTTCTAGTGCCCAACCTAAATTGAACAAATATTAGGAACAGTTTATACAATTTAATAAATCTTAGACCTTATATTGTATAAATACAAACTAAAATGATGTTATCAGAGGAAGTACATCAAGAGCTAATTTCTTGGAAAATTTTACTTGTAAAGATATACAAAAAAATGACAAATTAATTAAGATTTTAGACTTATATATAAATAACCGACCATAAAAACAAAAGAACAAAAAATGTTACAAGTGAACATCGAATTCCCAATATTTCTCGGTTTATTATGATTACCATGTGCGTACCAACCCTGACTGAGGTTAATATAATTCAGGACGTATCCCGAAGAGAGGGCGATATGTGCTTCGCATGCGGGCCGGGACATCAAGGAGCAAAGAGCGCGCCAGCGACACCATGGCGAGTCCTGAATATTAAGAGACACAATGGCTGGTCCAGACTCAGTCAGTAGTTTAACTCGAAAGCCATAATAAAATACGTAATTAGGTACAACTGTTATTTGAAGGACCAACATCTAAGGACATTGGAAATATATCAAATAGGCATTTTCAGGTAAACAAAAAAAACTGATTTTTAACAGATCTCGTCGGAATATTTTTTTTTTATATATGTTCAGCGATAATTCTTTTTCACGTTCTCCGATTTCTATGATTCTTTTTTTTTTGTTAGTAAGGGGGTACCTCAAGGGAGGTCCTTTATACATTGTGTTAAGATCTAGTCATGGGATCTATAAAAAAATCTGGTTTATTCTTAGTTTAGCATACTTAAGATATTTTGCCATCAAATGGGAATCACAAAATGCCAAATTAGGCAATACAAAACAAAACATACAATCTTTTGCACTTTGAGTGACAATATGGCTAATAATCTTGAACGGGACCTCAAAAAATTCCACCTACTATATATTATGTACACAAATAATCAAATATATATATAACTTCGTTACTAAAAAGGCCACCTAAACGGCCAAACAATGAAGAAACGTTTTACCTTTGACCTATTTCATTTAGCCATTTTCCTTATCAAAACAATATTCGCGATATCATTAGCACACAATAATAGTTGTCGACTTTCAAACAGTTATATCATCGTGTAATTGACGTAGAATGTATAGGATGTGTACTTTGACTTTGGTCGGACTATATTTTTAAAACAGTAAACAACTGGATAGGATACATGCTTAAAAGTATATTTTAAGTATACGTTGTAGGTCATGAGGAAGCGAATTATTAGATAATTAGATTAATATATATTTATGAAAATTGCTATTTTATTTCCTTTGTTAAATCTAAATTGATTTTATGTATAGATTTTTTTTGGTTGGGAGGATCTTGTATTGCTTTTTTTATGCAGATTTTGTTCTATTCGATACTACCGAATTGATTCGATAAATCTAGCCATATTCGAGCTCGTAAGTCTCAGATACAAAATTTTTACATGCAAGAGGCTTACGAAAATTTCTGCCTTGCTCCTGTGTAGACAGTATATAAAGTGTAGAGAATAAGTCTGTTTTATCTCAGCAGTGTTGTCAAAAGTCAGGATAATTTTCGGATTAAGTAATTTTTCGGATAATTCAGTGTTCTACAAAATAGACGTATATTTTTTAATACTATGAATGTATAAAGACATAAAAACATTTAAAATCAAAGAAATATACTTTCTATACAAAAAATTGTTTTATTTACGGCAGTATTATACTATTAAAGCACTTGTTTACACGTAATTGCCTAAAAATACGGCGATGTTTGTGTAAAATAATCGAATTAGGGGATTTCTCGAAAGGAATATGGATTTTCTCAACAGTCTAGTATTTTTTCAAGACCTTTGCTGGCTGAAAAATGCTATATTTAATCTTTGGAAAGGTCTACTTCAGATTTAAAACTTACTCAGGCAGACAAAAGTTAAAAATGTTCATATACAAGACGATGCTCAATACAAGGGTACAATAAAAACAAGTGGATATGTGTTTTAACGAAAACTATTACTTGTACATAAAATTGATAGTTTTGATGAAAAAATGGTAGAAAACAAGTAGGTTAGGATAAATAAAGTGTTAAATTAGAGATATACTACCTATTGGATCATCTAAAGTATACTTTGGTAAATTTTGATAAATTTTATAATATTCTCTTAAGGGCTTTTCAAAAGTAGCCCCACGTAAACCAGGCAACAGGCCTCCACTGTATCAGATGCACGTTACATTTTCCAAACTAAATTTTCTTAGTCACGTGAAGCTAAGTCCACAAGACTGTCATTTGCAAAAATATGCATATTGATGGTAATAATTAAATTTACAATTTCGTTGATATATAAAAGAGTATTGGTCTTAATATATTGCCTTGGGGCACACCATTAATTATTATTCATTAGTGTGAAGGAAGAGTAACTATTATTATGATTCATATATAATAACAAAGCAACCAAAACATAGGTAGTTTGAGGAAGTGCTGGGCCAAGGGAGGGAAAAGGGAACTGACTCTAGAACCATAGCTACTAGGCCATAGGCTTAAAGTGCGAATGCCATATTTGACATAACACAACTTGGTGGCACAAATCCATTTATAAAAGGCCAGATATCCAAGACATAGTTTGGGGAACTATTGTATAAAAGAGAGCAGGGCTCTGACCCTAGAAACATAGGTACTAGGCCAGAGACTTAAAGTGCGAATGACATGACTAGACCACAACTTGGTGGCACAAATCCATTTATGAAAGGCCAGAGGCTTCAAGTGCGATTTACATGACTGGTAGCATTTAAACAAACAAAAAATGTTAAAATGTTTCCATCTTTAACATATTTAACTCTGTATAATTTCTTTAAAAAAGTCAAATCTAAATTTCCTTTCACTATTAATTATTTCAACACCTTAGGTAAAATCCTACATACCTAACCCCTCATAGGTTGGCGTCATAAACTACTTATACCGCGACTCCCATTATTGACTATAAAGCTGCCCACAGAAGGCAATTTTAAAAAATCATTGTCCATTTCAGGTTTGTATCTTGTCCTCAAATCGTAAACTACATTTTCTAACATGCATTTTCGATATGTAACTTAAAATAGAAGTGAAATCGATACACACAACTGGTTCAATGTAGCATATAAAAGACCCCCTGAAATTCGTTTCATGTTTCATTATTCGTTTCGATAGAAGGAGACGAAAAAGAAGACGACGTGAACAAATTTTACTTCGAAATACACCACCACGTCGGCATACAACAGGAGTTCGGAGAGTAGAGGTGGAAAAACTTGGGTATACAGTTATTTTATAACAGTAGTGATTTATGATTAATGCAAGGGAATTATCGAGAAAAATAAAGGGCTTTGCGTCTTCGTGCACTTTAGATAGATTCGTTTACTATAACTAAAAACTTACTTTATACATCTTTTAATGCAAGAGTATAGTTTGCTTCTTTTAGTATTGAAAATACTACTGAGCACATTTATATGCAGGACGTGTTTGTCGAATTTTAAGAAACTATAGGTAAATTTGGGAAGGCGAGACCGAGACAAACTTCAAGCGTAAAGCGACAGTGAAGAAGATAAACGGCTCTTCACGTCTGAACACATGTATTTATATGAAACACATTTAGGAAGGCGCGACCGACGACAGCAGTTTTAGCACGGTAGGCTTTGCTGTTTGCTGTCTGTCGCTTGAAGTCGGTCTGGGTCTCGGTCGCGCCTTTCCTTTAACACGTTGAAGGACAGTAAAAATATACCAATCTAGGCAGTACAGTTTTTGCAAGAAAACTAATTTTTAAGCATTATTAACTATAACTATAAAAAAAAATAATAAAAGCACATTTTTTTGAGTACATCATTGACGTTCGAACGCATTGTGACAATAGGAGTTGGATATCATATCAGCATGTAATTTGTCACAAAATGATATTTACTCCTAAAGCTTTGAAATTTAACATCGAGTAAACCAACCTTAATGCTATGCGTTAAAAGACCATAGAGCAGATCAGATAGAGAAAAAGATGTCCTAATACAACGAGTAAAAAGAGCAAAACGAGGTACTTTCTAAACATAGCACCTGTAGTTCGTTTTTCTGTACCTTAGAAAAATACAATTTATAGAAAAAGAGTTAATAATCAGTTTTTTTTAGATAAATTTACAAGAGTAATAAAAACAATATTCACTGCGTATATTAAACTATGATCAAAACTTCCTTCATTGAAATTAATTATTTGTATGATTATAAATTTGATGTTATTCGACACTTTTCCATTTTTTAATATAAAGTTAAACATTACTTTTTGTTTCTCCTGTAAATTTGTATAGAAAACCTACTTATTTCTGAATCCATGTTTGAATTTCCCATCCTAAAGCATTTTTAAATTTTCCCGCTATTTTTGACTGGATACACACAGCAATAAGAGGCGTTAAGAAAGCAAGAAAATTGACTAGTGCGCCATCGTATACTGGTTGCGATTACAATCGCCCAAACAACTTCTGCCATGTATTAACTTTTATAAAACTATAGTCATTAATAACATTAATTTACTTTGAGAGTAATCAATTGTTTTTATTTATATATTAGTTGAGTGTATTGCTGCACTCACATTAGGGATGCCATTTGTACGGGTTTCACCCGGACTGTCCGAGTTTTGAACAATTTGTTCGGAGTCCGGTCGCATGACGGAAGTAGATGTAATTGGCCGGTTCTGGAAATGAGAAAGAGGTACAGAGAGAGGCAATTGGGTAATTAGTAATTATCCTAAGTACCCCCCACCCTTCGCGCAATTAGCAAGTACCTCCCAATTACATCATGTACTGTAATAAGTGCAATTGCACAGTAA